AGAATTTTATTTGAATAACAGGGCCTCCCACGGATTAAACAGTTTTGTGCGGAGAAAGAAGTGAAGAGAGTACGAAGCCAAAGAGTTCTCCGACAATTGTTCCAGCTAGCCTCACCGCAGCAACGCCAACAGCAAGCAGGGACTTATCCATGCAAGGCCCATGCAACCTATACAACGCTGACCCAGAATGGACATGCCACGGTACCACTATAATATTTGCTTTTATTCTCCTTGATTGCACTAGCAGTAGCAGAATTTGCTGCTTGTAATTCCTGGGCGTTGCTGAACCTGTCATTCCGCCCTATCTGCTATAGGCATATTTTTAATCGCCATAATATGTTCAATGTTAAATCAATGTGTTTAACTTAATAAATACAAAAGCCTGAGCGAGGTATACCGTTCCCAGGTAAATTCATCTTTGCAAGTTGAATTTGCGTTTCTGAAACCACTCTCTGCACTGGTAATTGTATTTAAAAGGGAACACAAAATGATGTACGTGACCAAAATTATTCCCCGCGCGACGCAATTAGATTCTCTTTCAGCATTAAGTTTCAGTTTCTGGGTAATTCGCGCGTAAAATCATATTTGCACGTGTGCGTTCCATGTTCTCAGAATTAGGCAACGGTAAGTTTAATCTTTAACTTTAACCGTTTTGAAACAGGTGCTGTTATTTCATGCTGGGAATCCCAAAAAGTGCTTGATCGGCCAGTTCATCATTGTGTCTTGCTAAATACTTGGTTAGTTTCATTATGCTTCGACTAATCATCACTGTTGGATTGGGGATGGTATTCAACTGTTGAGGGCCTACTGTAACAGCCATTGATACGCTTATAGTTATCAGACAGCAACTAACTGATATCCAATGGGTCTCAGCCATAGAACAATACAGGCTCAACGGTGGCTCGGAAAAGTATAATCTTCATGGTCTTATATATGATTTTGGTCTATTAGAACGAGTTTTAAGTGAAATATATCCTCCAGAGATGATTACTAATAAAAATAATACTTCAGTTCGTGAAACTGACTTTTTAGATATTTATAGTCTTAGGCCCGTATTCACCAACCTTTAGGTCATACTTAAGCAGCGTTTTAAGTATGAGGTCGGACTTAAAAAGGAGTTTAAGTGGCAACTTTAAAAATGGTATTCACCAAATTCACGATTAAGTGTCACACTTAATTTTTAAGGGTGACACTTAAAATCCCTTAAATTTGGTTAAGAGAACATATCTGGAGAGGTAGGGTTTCTTTAATTTTTAGTAACCAATTAATTAGAAATCTCTTGATTAATTAGGAACGTTCACAAAAAGTGAAGTGAGTTGTGTCCACATGATGTTTTGTCCACATGATGTTTGAACAATACCGTGTAAGCAAACGTTTATGACGCTGGATGACTAACCTCCGTTGAATCTGAATGAAGTTGTGATATAGGATATACAATGGTTTTATATCATGGTTAGATAACTTAGCTAATACCGAATAATCTCCAGGAAGTACTATTTATGTAAAGTTAAAGATCTATCATCCTATAATTCTATCAGTTTATTACACATTGGGGTGTCTTATTACCAGTCTGATAAAGTAGTAAAGTGCAGTATGACACTACTTGAACACAGATTCTGAGCCAAGCATTGTGATGTCAAGGATACATCTCACGTGTTGATAAAAGGTGTTACAAATACCTGAAATATAACGTTGAGTATTTGTGCAAGGAAACGGAGTAAAGTATAGTTGCACAATCGTAATGCAAACTATAAAATAATATTAGTACGGCATATGGGTGAAAGGAGGCGTTGGCAATAAGCCAATCTTCGCCTGGATTGCTGCTTGTTAGAAAATATTGTCTCGCCTCTCCAAAAAAAGAAAGCAGAAATTAGAAACCACAAAACAAGTTGCATATATAAAAACAACAGTTTTATAAGACTCAGTTCTAACTCTCTAATAGTAGTCCTCAATGTAATCAACAACTTAACAGAAACAGAAATTTCTGAACAGTGTTAGCTACAATAATAAATACAATTCATATCTAGGCCACTTGAACGAACACCTATGCAACAATAAGACAACAATAAGACAACAATAAGACAACATTAAGATAACAAACACCGATAAGACAACAAAATATGATAAAATATTAAGACTACATTAAGACAACATTAAGACATCATTAAGACAACATTAAGACAACAAACTCATTTAAGACAACATTAAGACAAAAAATTCATTTAAAACAACATTAAGACAACAAACTCGTTTATTAAGACTACATTAATGCAAAAAAATGTTTAGAATATGTAATATACTTTAACCCGTTATATTATATATATATTATATTAATTAAATATATATATTATATTAATTAAAAGTCGGTTTAATTTTCAATCCCTTCGGCCGGGATTTCACTGCCGCAGTTAAAAAGGGTAGGATTATTAACCCGCTGAGTCAGTAACACATAATCGCATAATCAGTTTTCATGGATAATTAAGCCATTATTAGGCACTGCATTCCATTTTACTATATTTGTATAAAGCGAGACGACATAATCCGTGCCATTTTACTGACACCACGGCATAAACTTTAACGCGACTTTCCGCAAAAACCGTAAAAGATATACAACTGAAACATTTTTGACTGGGTCAAATGCTTTAATGGCCTCCAAATCAATAGGAGTTTTAGAGCCCAAGATTTGGACCCCTCAAAAACGCGAATTAAATAGGTAATAATTATTTTAGTTTCTTGAGTCTTGACACCATTTCAGGTTTATACGGGTTCCTGCTAGTATAATACTTACGTAAATATATTATCTGAGTAACAAGATTTGAACTTTATTTAATTGTTTCAATTATGTAATAATGGATTACACAGGATTTACACAGGATTACACAGGATTACACAGGATTAAGGATTTACACAGGATTAAAATTAAATTATAGATCCATTATCATGGACCGTCATAATTGTACAGAAAACGGTGGCAGTGAATATGGAGGCTCTGGTGATTTTGAGGAATTACAGTTGAGTAAGGAGACACAATTTCCATAAGATGGACTTTGAGATTTGTTTCATTCACATTGATATTGCTTGAGTCGGTGATTTCAGTGCTTATTTCAATGAGTGGCATTTTAGAAAGATTTTTGACTAATTTCGACCTCTGTTTTGAATACAAGTCACATATGTAAAGAACATGTGACTCGTCTTCGATGGTCTCAACGCCCATACTTGATTGACACCAAGCACATAGTCTTGGCTCACGGGGTGTGTTGGAGTATCTGCCTTTTTCAATATGGAGATCATGGGCGCTGATTCTAAGTTTTGTGGTGCTATAACGACGAGAGAAGCCTTTGCACAAGTGTAATTAGGGCTCTCGGTTGAATGTGTGTTTGATTGAGTGATAGAATGAGAGTTTAGAAGAATTAGATTTCTGATATTCCCAACATTTTTTAAATTGATTGGTTAGAGCTTTGACGATGTTAGGAATTCTATACTTTTTGCTGCATAGTGGTTTGATACATTGACTAAAATTTGACTGATTTTTGAGGGAGTCTTTAAATAATTTGTGATCACTTACAGGGTTGGGCTCGGCTTTGTTGGCTGCATTTGTATTGAGAATTCGGTGCGCGGTTACGTGATCTAGTTTGTAAATTTCACCTAGTTCAAGGAGTGGTTTTATGTATCGATACCAAGGTAAGTTTAGTGATTTTTGTTCTTTTACGGCTGCAGTTACAAACGAATTCGACTTTGATTTTGTATTTAGCCTTTTGAAGTAATTTAATGTTAAGCGAATTGATTGATAAATCAGAGGAATTCTCCCTGTTTCTCCCCATACACCTACATTTGATGCTTTACGATGGACTCCCAATGCCCATTTCAGGAATGAAATATGCACTCTTTCTTGCAGAGAGGCGCTGATTTTTTAAAAGTAAGTTTGTAGCGGTTGCTTCTGTCGAGTTAATCGTTTTGCAAAGAGATTTATTGATCGTACTAGTGGGTGTCCATATCGGAGCACCATATAATAGAATGGGCTTGATGAGAGAGTCGAACAGTGTAAGGAGTGCTTTAAAAGATAACTTTGAACGCATGACAACCCTTTTCAGGCCAAAAAATGCACGCATTGCTTTGGTTTTAAGGTTTTGTTGAGCGATCTGCACTTGACCCGATTGATGAAGTTCAAATCCAAGGTAACAATAATTGTCAAAAATTTCAAGATTAGATCCGTTGAGTGTAAATTTGATGTTTTGTACGTCCTGTTTTAACGCTTTCTCACCAAAGATGACTGTTTGAGTTTTGAGTTCATTGATTTCAATGCCCCACTCCTTACAAAATTACCGAGAATATTAAGTTGCATTTGAGTGGTTTCTTGATCGAGTGAAAGGAGTATAAGGTCATCCGCCCACAGCAGGTGGCTAACAGTCATATTTGAAAGTACGGGGCAATTTGGAAAATCTAGGAGGCAGGACATATCACTGAGAAAAACTTTAAAAGGGTCAGTTGAGGGTGGGTGACCTTGTTCTGTACCTTTACGTATCTGAAAGCGTTTACTAAGATGACCAGATAATTTTATGTAAGCGTACGAGTTTGAGTACATATTTTTGAGGACATTGTAGAAATTTCCAGTTATGCCATTTTTTGCGAGTTTGAGGAAAAGGGCTTGACGGCAGACTGAGTCGAATGCTTTTTTAAAATCAACAAATACTGCAAATACAGGTTTCCCCTAAAGTTTATATTTTGAAGCTATAGTTTTCATGGTTAGTATGTGATCGTGTTGAAGTACATATGTGATGGTTTTTTCTGCTCGATAAAGTTAGTTAACCTTTTAAACATTGTACATTGATACATTACAGCAATATTCAGATCGTTTCAATGTTATGATAGTACACACTCAATCCAGAAGAAGCTTTCAAATAGTAACGAAGAACGATCTCATGATATCAACAAACAGTAATAGAAGTAAGTTAACATTGAGACATTACAGCAATATTCAGCAAGCTTTGATCAGATCTCTTACTCTATTCATTTTTGTTTGATTGTTGCTCGATATTATATTTTACTTGGCAGAGTAATTCTTAAAAGAAATGACATACAGTGAAAATTACGTCCTGGTTGATAAAGACGACCAGCAACAAACAACTTGGACAAGGAATGATAAGATGTTGTTGATATGTTGTCTCCTATGCGACTTTGCAGATGGAACAGAGATTGATTTGCCTGGTTGGTGTAACTTATTATTTTTGAAGTGAACATTTTCAATTTCTTTCTGCACATTGCACAAGCTCATTGCACATACCTTCCTTGTATTGAAAACATCACACCTACTCTGTAACACAAGCGAGCCGCGAGGAAGCCTGATAACCATATTTCCTCACGTATCAGGAATGTTAACTCAACAAGTTTCATGTGACATTGGAATATCTCATTGGAAAGAAGGATTATTGGATTGCATTCTGTTCTTCTCCTTAGCAGTTTCAGTTATGATTGCAGGACCATTGGCGAAAAGGTAGGGTCAAAGTATTTTTCTAGACGATTTTAACTGTAACCCTCAAGCTGCAGTGAAACATTTGCTAGTAGTAATACAGAAATTTGAAAAAATAGATTTAACGATATTGTGTTTCAGGTTTGAAAAACGGAAGATAATTTTAATCTCGCTATATCTGAGTGTATGCAGTTTAGTTTTCTGTGGCATGGTTGCAAACTTTACAGCTCTTTTTCTTTCACGAGCCATACTTGGCTTTTGTTGTGGACTCAGATACACCATTCTTTATGTTTGGGCCGCTGACATAGTTTCCAATAAAGAGATTCTAGACAGAATTTTAATGATAACACACATTTTCTACACTGCCGGGTCAATGTGGTCGTCAGTGTTGGGGTTCCTACTACTTGAATGGATTGGATGGAGGAAGTTTCTACTTTTCTCGACATTGCCCGTACTCATTCCTCCGATCATCATGGTTCACTTCTGTGTAAAAGATATAAAAGGATCACAAATAGAAAGGTCAGAAGACGAAGCAGAACAGCAAGAAACAGTGACTGTTTCAAACTTTGCAGCTAGAACCACAAAAATGGGGCTGCTCATTGCTTGTGTTACTTTTAATGGCTGGTTGACCACCCTCCTCGTTCCAGCGTTGATCCAGATGCTTAAGATCAATAAAGCAGGACCAAACATTGATTGCTCAGTTGCCATGACTCAAGGGCCGGAACTCTTGTTACTGGCACTTGTTAACTTCGCAGGTATGCCCTCTGCATTCCTTATGCACTGGATAAAAGACAAGATTGGATTTCGTAAACTGCAGGGGTTTGTTTCCCTAATATACGTAGCAAACTTTGTACTGATGCTCACACAACAAAACCTTGCGGTAGCGATTTTAACTAACTTCATAACGAAGTTTTTGAACGGGATAATTGGTTTGGGCTACAGCTATGTCCTCTTCGACGTGAATTACTTCGGAACGTCAAACTTTGAAGTAGGTGCTAGCATCGCAACCGCAATGGGCTTGATTGGGGGGATGGCTGGGTCGGGCATGGTCGCATTTGCCTCCACATCATCTGTTATAATCACTGCTTTGGTGGTCAGTGTGGTTCAGGTGATGGTTGTTGTTTCTATGACAGAGGTTCAGTAGCAATATCAAGCTGAATAGGTGAGCAGGTTAAATAGACAGAAGACAGAAGGTGAGATAGAAAAGTGCTCAACACATGAGGCCAGGTTTCAAAATGAGGGAGTGGTCTGAAAGTCCTTTCCGAAACTTTCTTTAGTTAGATATCCCAGCCCTATTCAGAAGAATTTGTGATTAATTTATTGCTCTGTAAATTTGTATTTCCTGATAAATAATGAGACCTAATTATTTCATTTTCAGAGTTTTAGTCACAATTTCGTATTACTCTAACTCAGTTGATGAAGTAAAATATAATTTGACAAAGTAAAATATATTCGAAGAAATTGTGTTATACATAATTTGTTGCCTTATTTAGTTTGTTACTGATGTCTTAAACGAATTTGTTGCTTTAATGTTGCCTTAATGTTGCCTTGATGTTGTCTTAAAACTCACACTTAAAACGGATATTTTTAAGGTACACCTATATCAACCTTAAACTACAGACCTCCTACTTAAAATATTACTTTCACAGTTTACATACGTAGCAGTCACACATATACATCATGTGTTTGATATTTCCGACACGAGTTTTGATACTTTTGACCCTCACAAAAATTAAAATAGTTTGATGAGTAAATGTAATCGTTAAAATCTGAAGTTTATTATTTATTATATACTAGTGCCGTGTGGAACAAAGAAAAACCATAGTGTTTCAAGAGTAAAAGTAGTAGTAGCGTTTAAAAACAATCTTAATAAAAATTATAAAAATTACGATAAATCCGTTATGTCTCCATTCTCAAGCTCCGCGAGAAGGCCAGCCGAGAAAGGCAGATCAGTAGAGGTGGCCGTTGGTACCAGGTTGTCCCTGTGGACCCTTAGAATCTCCAACCAAAGTTCGTGCCTTTCAGCCTGCTGCATTTGCATTTGCTGCATCTCAATTTGCTGAATTGCCAGAATCCCCATTCTTGCTTGATGAAGCTCTTCTGCCCGATCCTGCAACAGTTCTTCCCTTGGGTTGAAATGATGAGGTAGGAGAATTTCTCTGCCTCTCGTTCTTTACCTGCAACGAGGGTTTCCTCTTTGAGCTTGCTGGGATACCGATGCTCGAACTTGTTGCTGGAGTGCTGGGGCACTCTTGCTCCTCTTCGCCCAGGTTTATTACCTCTACATCTGGTGAGGGGTCAGTATCTTTTAGACTCCCAAGGGTGGAGCCAGAGTCAAACTCATACTTGAGAATTTAGTTAGCCATGATGCAGTGCATCATGGCTAACTAAATTCTCAACTTTATAATATCAGTTGTGTGCATCAGATGCACACAACTGATACTATAAAGTTTTCAAATTTGTGTGTGGCGAAATTACCCTGATCTTCTGATCCCATTTGTTTGGCGAAGTTTGGCGCGAAATTCGCGCGCGGCTGGCAAAGTCACGCACGTGTATTGGCGAAGTTCGACTACATTTCTACTTCATCCCGGCGATGTTACCCACAGCATGGCGATGTTACCCCGGCGACCAAATTGCCCATTGTAACACGCAGGCTAGAGCTAGATAAGTAAAATTGGCAGGTATATTAAGGAAATATAATTGAGTTTCAAGTGGTATGGTGCTTAGCACCGAATATGGTATAGTTTCAGAATGGCGAAGTTACCCCGTATTGCAGGGTAACTTCGCCCTGATTTCAGTGGAACCAATCTAGCTAACTATTTATGCCTGGCTGATGTGGTTCATACGAAAACATTTGCTTTACCAATCCTGTTCATATGAGCTATAAACTTTTTCAAGTACTCGTGTCGTATTTTCTAAATAACATGAAATAGCTGTAAAACAAGGCCAAGTTCCCCCATTCTACGGTACTATATTTCATGTACACATCTATTTTCCTAACAGTTTAAGTTAAAGCCTAAAGTTACCGGTACGTGACCAGAACTGCATTAAGTGCACACGTGCGAATTTGATTTTACGCACGAATTAGTTTTAAATGTTAGACCAATTAGAAATTGATCTAATACACAACTTTACTTCTATACACTTCAGTGATTGGGCTGATGACTCCAGTGAAAGGGCTGGTGACTCTAGCGAAAGTGCTGGTGACGATGAGAAAGACCATAAACCAGGGATTCCTTCAGGAGCATGTAAGATTATATCCAAAGTTTGTTCGCCAATGGGGTGTGTCTGGGTGTCAAAGATCTTCAAGGTGGGTGCTACTTGTGATGAACTCTAGAAGGATGGGATGGTAATATTCGGTCTGGCCGTCTGGAAGCCCATAGAATTCCAGTTCAGAAACTGAGTAAGGAGGTGCGGCTACTGATGAGAAGCCTCCTTTATAAAGTTTATTTGGGTTAGAAACGACATCTGGGTCCCTACCCTCGCACAAGATTATTCTCAATATTCTTGTTGTGTTCCACAACTACCAATAAGTATACTTACCTTTATGTACATGATATCTTTCTATAACATATTCTCTATACAATATTGTTTCTCCTATAATTATATATTGTACATGACAGACATAAAATTTATCCTGACTGCCATCTTCTGTGTTCTCAGTTTACAATGGTTTCCTGCGGACCCTAATTCTTTCTAACAAAAACGTAGTCTGTGCTATCAGCTAGTTATAAGTGTCCAAGACTATAAATAATGTTTTTCTTCTATCCGCACCCCGGGATCGAGATGTAAGCCTTCTAAAGAATTACCTTCAGCAGTTCCATAACTTAAGGTAGATACCATACTATACTATTTGTATCACGTCGCGATCCCCACCGACATGTCATTACTTTCTCTTAGTAGATCTTGAAGTGAAAATCTTTTCCGGTTTTAGCGTTGATGTCGCTGAAAATTTCCGTGGTTGTTAGACTTGCCAAAAGCAAAAGTTCTTACTTCTTTCTGATCAAGGTATTCCATTAGCGTTGCATTACCATTAGCCTTAGGTGGAGGTATAAAATTCGATAACTGTTTTATCGTCTTATCGGTATCCGCGTGGTTTTCTGATCTAATTCTACCGGCCGAATGGCAAAGCGATAAACATTATTTTTCATAACACATCCGCGTTTTCCAACCAGTTTAAGTTAAATAAGGTTAACGGTGACCAGTCCTGTGGACAATGTCATGGAGCCTATTACGTATGACTATAAATTTATAATAATGCAATTCACAGTTGCATTTTGACGTACTTTTGGGAGTACCAAAAGCGCGCAAACTGAATATATTTAACGCGCGAATCTGTTTTTGAAATAAACTGAAAGTGAAAGAGAATCTAATTTGTAATTACATCGCGCGGGGAATAATGTTGGTCACGTACGTGTAATAGTAAAACTATACTATAAGTATACGAATACCTAACGATTCCCTTAAAAATAAGGACAATCTATAAATCACTTTGGCGCGGGACTGGGAAGCTATTCTCGCACATAACTTAGGAATCCAAAATTACTAGGTCTAGAGAAGGTTCCAAAATCAAACCAGCAATGATAAGTTTATCTTATTGAACTTTATTTAATTTTAATTTTGAATGGACACAAATTCAAATTGAACGCTTGAGAGTCTGAGAAGAGGCCCCAGCTAGGGCATAGCGTACATATATTAATATCCGTTTAACCTTAAATAGTCTGCCCATTTACGTTCAAGTCAACGCCCGTACGTAAACGTTTGAATGCCTCCGGGCTCCGAGCGTTCATTTTGATGTCCATTTTTAACTTTAAATGGATACAATGAGATAAAACTATGTTGTCGGAATTAGACAATAAATAAACAATAATGAATAAAAATAAGTCACTAGTATAGCAATAAGCAAATAATAATGAAATTATTGCTCCTTAATTCGTGAATTTTTCATAAGACGCAAACTTGCGTTAACATAAATAAGGTCTCGCTGCTTGTTAACTGTGAGGCGGTTTCTTTTTTGTTAATCGTCCAGTCGTACAAGCTCCAATTCGTCTCACAGGGTGAGGCTGATGTCGATTGCGACAGCGCTTTCATTGCAAAACTTTGTAGTTGCGAGTTCGGGTACCTCGCAACCGAAGTTGCTCCACCAAGAGACTGGACCGTCAGAATCTTGGCTAAAACTTGAGGCAGCGTCAGTAGAGAATAAGCCTCTTTTCTCTCGGTAGAACGTGTACTGCGAAAGTATCTTCTTCTTTGTTGCGCCGTCACACCACGTGTCCATGACATCTAGAAACTCCTTCCAGACATCCTGATTCGTGTGTTGATCATATCCCTGATATATAAGCCGGGTGAACACAAAACCCTACTGAATGTAGGGGGGAATGGAGCTCGAGCCACCTTTTGTTGGCAAGACTAACCATATCGCTTTTATAGTTTCAATTGCGAAAAGCAAAATTTGCTAACTTTAAGGTGAACAGATAATATTTGTAATAAATTACACCGATGAAACCAACAGGAATCTTAAGACTATTGTCTGAAAATTTAAGCAAGACTATTATCGGCTCGAGAATTGAGCATAAAATATAAATAGTCGACTTCTATCCAGAAACACTAGCGGAGTTTTAGGGCCTGAAACGTGCATGCATGCGCGCTAAAACTCTTTTAGCTCATCTAGAACATGTAAAATTGCGGGAAACGATGGCGTGTCGACGTGTTAATATTTTAAATCTGATTAACGTTCCTTTATATGTTCCGAACAGTAAAATCTTTTAGCGAACGCGTTCACAAACTATTTTTAGTAAGCGTTCCGTACGTTCACTACAACTAAGCCGGGTGTCTATCAAAGTAAATACTCATACTTTGACTCTTTGACAATGACATCAACTGTGTGGAACCCGATATCCTAAAAAGAGTAGATATTGACAATATAATCCTTAATCTGTTTAACCGTGCTACTGCTATTAGTATTGTCGATGGAGATTGGAGATGCTCCCGCCCATTCATGCATGGCGGATTATCAATATTGTCCCAATGTCCAAAATAGGAAATCTCACCGAGGCTGACAACTACATTAAATGGATCACCATCATCAATTGTCAGCAAAACTCTCAACCGCATGATCCTTATCAGTTGAGAGAGACCCGCTCGGGGTATTCTGATGAACATACTGACAGCATGCCTACGGTATCCGTATAGTATTCCAAGGCCCATAAGTTAGGCTGATTCGACACTATGGAAAAATTCATTCTTGCAGGAGTTATGCAAGGGAATACGCTACCTGTTTGTCATTACTTATATTGAAGCTGTGTTGTGCAAAAGTCATAGAAGGTCGTGATCTTGGCTTCAAACTCGTTCTAATAGACCAAAATCATATATAAGACCATGAAGATTATACTTTTCCGAGCCACCGTTGAGCCTGTATTGTTCTATGGCTGAGACCCATTGGATATCAGTTAGTTGCTGTCTGATAACTATAAGCGTATCAATGGCTGTTACAGTAGGCCCTCAACAGTTGAATTAACGGGTGATACTCGTAAAATATCTGTTCCATATATTGGACCGTCCAACTCGGACCGTCCAACTCGGCGCGCGTCCTGGTATGTTATAAACCTACAACAGTTGAATACCATCCCCAATCCAACAGTGATGATTAGTCGAAGCATAATGAAACTAACCAAGTATTTAGTAAGACACAATGATGAACTGGCCGATCAAGCACTTTTTGGGATTCCCAGCATGAAATAACAGCACCTGTTAAAGTTAAAGATTAAACTTACCGTTGCCTAATTCTGAGAACATGGAACGCACACGTGCAAATATGATTTTACGCGAGAATTACCCAGAAACTGAAACTTAATGCTGAAAGAGAATCTAATTGCGTCGCGCGGGGAATAATTTTGGTCACGTACATCATTTTGTGTTCCCTTTTAAATACAATTACCAGTGCAGAGAGTGGTTTCAGAAACGCAAATTCAACTTGCAAAGATGAATTTACCTGGGAACGGTATACCTCGCTCAGGCTTTTGTATTTATTAAGTTAAACACATTGATTTAACATTGAACATATTATGGCGATTAAAAATATGCCTATAGCAGATAGGGCGGAATGACAGGTTCAGCAACGCCCAGGAATTACAAGCAGCAAATTCTGCTACTGCTAGTGCTATCACGGAGAATCAAAGCAAATATTATAGTGGTACCGTGGCATGTCCATTCTTGGTCAGCGTTGTATAGGTTGCATGGATAAGTCCCTGCTTGCTGTTGACGTTGCTGCGGTGAGGCTAGCTGGAACAATTGTCGGAGAACTCTTTGGCTTCGTACTCTCTTCACTTCTTTCTCCGCACAAAACTGTTTAATCCGTGGGAGGCCCTGTTATTCAAATAAAGTTCTGAACCGTCAATCAAGCGTTTAGTTCTAAAACTGGTTATGGAAATTGTAGTTTTGTAGCTTTTCTCATAACTATCGTCCTATCGAACTGATGATCAATAAACATCACGCGGTTTGCTACAATCAAGTTAATATATGGGGTCGTTTACATATCAGCAGATGGGTCTTCCAAATTGCAAATGATTACGATTGACCGCATATGATATTGTAATTTTGGCACAATAGCACAATACTAATAGCGATACCCGGATTTAACATTTAAACAATTTTTAATCGTATTGCCGTGCAGTGTTTGTGTAACTCAAGTTAGTAATCGCTTTTCTTGTCAAAAAGTTAATATTTATTTCCTTCGATGGTAAATTATTTTGTCCTAAATTCATATATTTTCTAATAATATAAAATTGGTTTAAGACCAATACAATGTCAATAAGTCATGTGGCATGTAAGGCGCCAAAGACAAATTGCTAAAAGGCGCGGCGCAACTGCTGAAAACTGCCACTAACTGCCACTAACTGCCACTAACTGCCACTAACTGCCACTAACTGCTACAAACTGCCACTAACTGCTGCAAACGGCGCGCGCAGTGCGTGGGCGCGATTGTAGCAGTTAGTGGCAGTTAGTGGCAGTTAGTGGCAGTTTGTAGCAGTTAGTGGCAGTTAGTAGCAGTTAGTGGCAGTTTGTGGCAGTTAGTGGCAGTTTGTGGCAGTTAGTGGCAGTTAGTAGCAGTTAGTGGCAGTTTCTTTGCACTTAGCTCCTCCTGTGAAGGGAGTCATATCGAAGATCAGACACAGTTTGGACTTAGGAAATCCCACTGTACAAAAAAACTAGCATTCTTGCTTCGCATCGATCGTTGATCATCGATTGTTGCTCGTCGTTGATCGTCGATCAATGGGTTGACATCGTCAATCAAGTACATCTCATGTAGTTAATTAATTTGTAGATTTAATTACCAAATCTTTTTAACTTAAGAATCATGTTTTAGGCGGAATATTTATCGACCTAAGCAAAGCTTTTGACGCCATCGACCATTCAACACTTTTTATAAAATTAAAGGGATGTGAAATAAAAGGAGTTGCAAATAACCTTTGCACAAAAAGCTATTTGACAAACAGCAAACAGGCAACAATACACTAAAGTTAATTTGGGATAAAAATCAAATACCCTTAAAATCAATACCCTATTTCTTATTTTAAGAAAAAATTTTATTTACCACAAAACAATTAATAAATAATGTTATATTCATAAATAAATTGAGATTTGAATTATAACCATATAAACAGCCCGCCGCGCACACTGCCACACATTGTTGAGAAATCCTTACTAGGTGCAGCTGTAAGCGCCGCGCGCAGGATCTATTGAATTGTTATCTTGTATTACATTTTATATTACATCTTATATTAAATCTTATATTACATCTTATATTATATTACAATTACATGTCACATTTATTAATTACATGAAGAACCAAAATTTCAGAAGCAGAATAAGTTTTATGAAAAATTTATGCCCCGCGCATGAGAGGGTTCAATAGTTGAATATTTTTACTGGGCCGCGCTCAGCCTGTCATTCCACCTAATTTCTATTTTGTTGTTTATCAACATTAAAGCCTGGGGTCCTCAGGTAAGATTTTTTTTTAAAATATGAACGACATCACAAACATGGTTTCAAACTAAAATCATTTGTTACCTTTACTGATGATACCAATATATTTTTGTTGGCAAAACAAAACGTGATGCATATAAACAAGAAAATATAAGCTATTGTTTCACCTAACCATGTGCTTTCGCGCCACTTCGGGCGCACTTGTTTCACAAACAAGCGCAAGGGCTTTAGATAAAGCAAAGCTATAGTCGTCATTACAGTTTTATATGAGAGCAAATAAGTTACGTATAAAAATGTCCTGTGCTGCTCTTTAGTCTCCCTTTATTCTTCCTGTGTCGACTGTCACGTGAATTTTTCAAGCCGTTCTCTAGCTGGCCCTGAACGACTATTCGAAACCCTAATCCTCTAATTTGATCCCAACCTTATAAAATAAAACACATACCAAATCCCCAACAAAAGCATATGCTAAAACCCTAACCCTAACGAGAAATTATACTAACTTCCCTGTACAAGTATACAGTCTTATCACGTGATCATGATCGAGACAATTTTTCGCCAATATCTCGTCAGGGGAGCATTTTAACCTTTTGTCATGGGGGTGATTCGGAATCAGCGTCCGAAAATACATCAATTAATGTTGGTTTCAACTCTCGGGGGCCCTTTTAGAACAATCTCGAAGATCAACTGCAAACTGTAGAGTGATTTAGCATGCTTGATTTTAATCATAAATTGAATAAATGCTTGAACCACAATTTGGTTAACTAAAAATCCACATAACCAATAACTAAAAAAAATGCTCTATTATGATTATATAACATCGTAATAATATAATAAAATGGCCCACGATTATTATTTTTTGTTGACAGAGGAATGATGCTTATTAACTAAACGTACCTGTACACTAATTGATGTACTTTTATTCTAATTGTATTTCCTCGCTTATACTGACACGGCCATGGGATAGTTATATCTCCCTGTTTGTGTATTGAATGATTTTGATTTTGTTTATAATTCATGTACCCTTGATTTGTCTTCAAAATAAATTGATCCATTCTTCATTGTTTTCCTAACCAGGACTGAACATGAGTTTGGCTAATTTATCTCTACTCATCTTTCTCATCAAGATTACTACCTGCTCTTCACTATCAAATCTTAAACAGTTTCTATGCAGAGTCACCCCGGCTAATTGCCAGTTCGTAAATGTTTCTCTTGTTCAGAAACAAACTTCTCTAGAGTTTTTCAAGTTACACACGCACAACAGTTCAGCTGGGACTGATCTCCTCATTAAAGGTACATCCAAAACTGCAGTTATAAGTGGACTGAATTACTATCTAAGAGTTCATTGTAATACAACTCTCACAGAGTTTGGCTTATCCCGTGAGACATTCAAAATTGTTCAGCTGAATGGTACTGTATATCAGATTTTGAATGGCCTTACACACTTCTATGGAAACATTTGTGCTTACTCCTACTCTTACTGGGCATGGAATTGGGATATGTGGGAGAAACATATTGACTGGATTGCTTTTAGGGGATTCAATATGATTTTTGTTCCTACTGGCGTTGAATATGTTAATCTACAAATGTTCAAAATGCTTGGTCTACATGAAAAAGAAATTTACGAATTTTTTAATGGACCTGCATATCTTGCTTGGTCTAGAATGGGAAATATGAAAAATTTCACTGCTCCTCTCACACCCGAGTTCATAAACTTCCAGACATCTCTGCATAAAAATATCAGTAGAAGATTCAATGAACTGGGTGTAAAAGTTGTGATTCCTGGCTTTTCTGGATTTGTCCCTCGTGAGCTGATGCAACTTTACAACAAGACTAACTTCAATGATGTTAGTTGCTGGAACGGTTTTAAAAAAGAATATTCATGCCTGGTGCAGATTGATCCAACTAAAGAATTGTACAGGACGATTGGTAACGTCTATATGAAGATTTTGTTGAAAACATTCCAAACAAATCACTTTTATGCTGTTGATATGTTTAATGAAAATACTCCAAAAAATACAAGTCTGCAGTACCTTCAGTCTTGCGGTAAGAACACAGTATCACTTATAAAGTCTGCAGACCCTCATGGTGTTTGGCTTTTGCAAGGATGGACATTTGGATACGATCCGTTTTGGGAGAATGCTAGGGTAGAATCATATTTGAAGCATGTTGAAAGTAGTGACATAATCATTCTTGATATGTTTGCTGAAGTTAATCCAACATGGAATCGTACTAAAAGTTTCTATGGCAAGCCATTCATTTGGAGTGTGGTTAACAATTTTGGTGGTAATACTGTAATCAATGGCAATATAAGGGAAACTTTGGAGGGATTTAATCTCGCATTGAAGGATAGCTTATCCCTGATCGGTTTTGGATTTATGCCTGAGGGTATTTATGAAAACACCATTTTTTTAGATGCTGTAATGCAGTTTACAACATTACATAACAACAATCAAAGCTTACGGAATCCCTCTGAATTTTATGCTAAATGGAAGGATAGAGTTTCATATTACAGATATAGTGACTACAAGGGTGGTATTGTCACAAATATTGCAGACAAATTGTATTCTGGTGATAGTAAAGGTTCTTTTCCAGACAGCTCTTTCATATATCAGCAACCAGGGTTTCATATGCTATTTAAACCTACTTCAGAAATGTCAGATACTATTGAAATTCTGCTTAATTATCTTGAGATAATCCATCGCAAGCAAGTCAGAGAGTTCTCTGAAATATTCTTTTATGACATGAGTTCTGTGCTTCAAAGCTATGGTGATCACTTGTTTCATAAAATCTATGAACAATTGGTTAGTGCTTACGAAAAAAGAGACATTAACTTGCTTACCAGTTGTGCTGGAATAATGATCAAAACTATACAATTGCTGGATGAAGCCTTCAGTCTTCTTCATCTCAAATCTTTGCCATGTTATCAGAGTGATATAAACTCCTTTGCTCTGTTGATCAAAGAAAACCCAATGAAGCTTTCTCAAAATTTCAGACTTCAGTTAACCACTTGGGGGTATGACAATGAAGTTCTGGACTATGCCTTCAAGTTGTGGTCGGGGCTACTGGCCAAATACTATAAACGTAGATGGGAGACATTTTTTGACTTTTTACAGCTGTCATTATTAGAAGACACACCATTTGATGATAAAGGTTTTGAAGTTGAGGTTACTGAAGTGGAGAGAAAATTTGTGACTGAGGGTGTTTCTGAGAGTTGTATCCCTTGGGGTGAACAAAGTATATCAAAATTTGCTTTACTTGCTGAAAAATTGATATGGCTTCATCATGTTTTGTGATTGTTTTATAAAACAATTGTTTTATAAAAACAATTTTCGGCCTCAATATTATACAGTAGTTGAGTATACTCAACTACTGTATAATATTGAGGCCGAAAATTGATTTTACATGTACAACATCTTGATTAGTTATTCATTTAAACATTTTTTATTTTTATACATATTTTATACCTATGAAGTTTTTACAACTAGTGGTTTGTTTGTTACAACTTTTAAAGATTGGTCGTGACTTATTCGTCTTACTCGATTTGAATTGAAATTGACTAGTAGTAGTAGTAACAAATTTGAATATCTCTTTAACTTAGATCATCATAAAAGTTCAGTTAAATACATTTTCTTGGTATTGGATTTTAATATTTATTTATCTTCTTTCAGGGTGTACATGAAAAGTATTAATGAAGCTGCTCTATCTGTGCTTTCTACTCCTACCACCACCCATCTCGTCCATCCCTGAACTATCTTCAAAGACTGTTTATGATGCTGTAAGAGGAGATATCAGGAATGTGGAGACTTTATCAAATGAAAAGGGACAATGCATGCCTGACAGAATATACTTCCTGTTAAGGCATGGTAGCAGAAACTTTGGTAATACTATAACTACCCGAATAGATGCATTTTTAACAAGGTTTGCCAAGCTGGTAGATTCAGGTATTGTGACATTGAACTCAGATATGGAGTGGTACCAAGAGTGGGAGGGTGGGGTTTATTATACGGACTATGAACTGGTAGTGGAGGGAATGTTAGAACACTTCTCTATTGCAACTAGGTACAAAGGGAAGTTTCCCACTTTATTCCCAAATTACTCAGTGTACAATTACTCACTGCAAGCAACAACTAAAACCAGGACTATTCAGAGTGCACTTTCGTTCATGGATGGGTTGCTGCATGGTACTGGACCTCTTGAATCAAGTCCTGATAGACTTGACATTGTCATGAAGGGTTACATGCCCCCTGGTATGGTTATCGAAAAGAATGATGAGGACAGATTGTTGCGGTTCATGGATTGTTGTCCAAAATATGAAAAATATATAAAAACACTGAAGTGGAAGGATGAATCAAATCTTTTTGATGAACTTCCTCTTTATCAATCTGTTGTGCAATCAGTGTCGTCAGCATTAAAGTATGACGCAACTTTAAATGACTCAAAAGCCCTGTATTATTTGTGTGCCGCAGAAAACATGTCACCAACGCAGGCTGGACATTCTCAGTTTTGCAGCGTGTTTGATGAAGAATCACTAGATGTGCTTGACTATAGTAAGGATCTTGAAAAGTACCATAAATACAGCTACCCATATCCTACAACCTATAAAATGTCCTGTTTGCTTTTGAGTGACATCATCAAAGAAATGGAAGGCAATAAGAACACTCCAGTGCTTAAGTTTGCTCACGAAGAAACTGTTATGCCACTGCTGTCGTTGTTAGGCTTGTTTGATGATGGTGAGATTATGACTCATAAGATGGTTGACTGGAAGAATCGCAAGATGAAGGTTTCAAGAGTCACACCTTTTGCTGGAAATGTGGCTTTCGTGAGGCAATCGTGCCCTGGAGATGATGAACCTCGAATACAGGTACATTTATATAATTTAGAGAGCATGTACCTGATTCTTCTTTTTAGTTACAGCAGTATTTTTAGTTACAGTTATTAAAGTCATTGAATGAAGTAATGATATTGTTTTCAATCCGCTCATAAGATAAACTCTGTGTTCAGAAATATCTTAAAATACGCTAATGTTCAGGTATTTAATACAGTACTACAATTTATACCTACTCATTACTCAATTGTTAGTTACAATGTTTAGATCACTTTTCACTGTTAAATTAGTAATTTTTTCAGTTGAACAGCTGCGTTTAACTATCTATATAATACTTCATAAAAATTGTACACATTTTCAGGTAATAGTTAACGAAAAGGAAGTAAAAGTCCCCCTTTGTAGCAGAGCCGGATGCACTGTTGCTGACCTAAAAGAAATCATCAGCACCCGAGCAGATGGTTGTAATTACAACCTGATATGTAACATATCCCCAGACAAATGGGACGACAAACACAGCACCCAACAGATCATAATAGCGGTACTTCTCACTCTCTCACTCTGTCAAGCTACCTACATCTTCTTTCACTGCATTAAGAGGTGCCCACTGAACAGCAGGGAGGATCAGACAGACTGCTCGGATCAACAACCCTTGATTGAGGAGGAAAGTGATCAGGGGTATGCTGACGAACCGGACAGTAATTTAGTAACTACAGTCTTGGATGACTAGTTGTTGTGTTGGCCCATTTGCATTTAATAATGCAAAAATTAGATGGAATTTGTTATTTCTAAGATTTGAAATAATATTTAATTACTATGTATGATGGTTCATGGTTCACTTTATTATATGTACATATAAATATAATGGCTTAATTGTGTAAATGTACCAATTATCCATTTGCTGATATTTATGTAAAATAAATGTTTTTGTTAAATTTGTGACAATCACAAGCTTCCGTTTGGCTTTTTATATGTTATGGCATATTTATTGTTATTATTTGTTTGTTATCAATTCATTTATTTCAGTACTATTAATGGCATCATACTATCGAAGGGGTATTTTGATTATTAATTCAACTTAAAGGACCAGTTAACTGAAAAATTTGTAGTCTCCAATTTGGCTAAGATTTAAATCAGCTGTGACAAACTGGTAAAGAATCGTATCGCCGAAAGAACCAACTCTCTAGCGTACGTGTAACGCGTGTTATTGCAATAATAAGCTGTGGCCTCGTGACGTCATAAAGTCCCTCAGTGCGCGCTTGCATAGCGTTTAATACATTGCAAATGTTTATCATCGTCAATAAAACACGTGTAACTCACTCAAATTTTAGAATTATGACTATTACCCTAGTTCTCCAAAATCCTTATAGTTTTGGCTATCATCCTAACTAAAGGAATAGCTGATTGGATGTACAGTGCTCACGTCATGATTTTAAACAGTGATATAGGTTCTTGAACAGTGGCGGGTGAATGTACGGTTAGAAAGTTTCTGCTATTACAACTTATGTCATATGTGATAATTTTGGATTGTTTTCATTGCTTAAATAGAACGATCTTTTCTGCCTTTTATCAGTAGTGAAATGACATGTTCTCTTAAGTAGTCCAAGTCTAGATGTAGCTTTGGAAACAAGCGCTTTACATTGTGCACCCCAATTAAACCTGGAGTTTATTGCGACTCCTAAATCTGACTGAGAGGGCACAAAGTCAATATCACTTCCAGAAAGTTTATAAAAGAAGGTATTGAATGGCAAGTTATCCAGCACGTTTCTTTGCAGGGACACAGAGAGGGCTTTGCACTTTTGTGGGTGGAACTTCATTCGATTTCTCACTGACCAATCATATAATCTATTGATGTCATTTTGGATTATGTGATGGTCAGGGTAACCAAGAATCTCCCTCCAAATTTTAGTGTCATCTGCATAAAGGGCGATATTGGTGCCTTCAGAGACACAGGAGAACATGTCATTTATAAATATTACAAACAATAAAGGGCCAAGTATAGAACCTTGAGGGACACCAGACCGAACTGGTAGAGAAGAAGACGTTTGGCCTCCTATCACTACTTGTTGTTGTCGCCCCTCAAGATAGGACTTAATAAATTTAAGCATTAGTCCATCGACATTAAAAATATTCTTTAATTTACTTAAAATGAGGTCATGCGAAACGCTATCAAAGGCTTTCGCAAAATCAAAATATATTATATCAGTCCTGGACCTGTTATTCAATGCAAGTGCAAGATTGTCCGTGAAAGGTATCATTTGGGTTGTGCATGAACGTTCATTAACAAAACCGTGTTGTCGGTCATCCAACAGATCAGAACACGCAGCGTATAATGCAGTCTTTATGCACCTTTCAAAGACTTTCATTACAAGAGATGTTAACGAGATAGGCCTGTAGTTCTCAACCGAAGACTTATCGCCCTTTTTGTGCACTGGTACTACAAGTGCCAGCTTCCAATCAGGGGGTATGCATCCGCTCGAGAAAGACAGGTTAAATAAAACACTAAGTGGGTATGCAATGCTTTGGGCACAGTTTTTGAGGACTCTCCCATGAATCCCATCAGGGCCAGGGGCCTTGTTAGGATTTAACTTTTTAAGAATCAACAGAACATCTTCTCTACTAAACACAAGACTTGAAAAACAATCATCACGAAAATCTATGTCAATGCCATAATCGCTCTCTTGAGAAAACTGCTCATAAAAATATTCGTTAAAAAGGGCAGCTTGATCAGATGGATTGTTTCGAAAGCGATTATGATATTTGACAGTTTCAGGGATCCTGGTTGACTTTGATTTAGATTTAACGTAGGTCCAGAATTTCTTGGAGATAAGAGCATCATCGGAGTCATCCTCAACACTGAGTCTCATTCTTTCGTCCATCAAATTTTTAAATTTTGTGCGAAATGCACGAAACTTTTGTTTATGAGACTCAGAGTTGCTCCCCTTATGCCTTATTCTCCATTTCTCCTTATTTCGTAGGAGACGATCACATTCGGAGTCATACCATGGGGGCTGGAACTGAGACTTAATGGTCTTTTTAGGGATCCATCGGTCACAGGCTGCACCGAGAACTCCTCTGAATCGACTCCAGGCAAGATAAGGATCATTACACTCAAATATACTATCCCAATCGATGCTAAATAACTCAGAATTCAGGCCCCTAAAATTACCTTTACTATAATTAAAGATCTTTCTTTTAGGCTGCTTAATATACTTGGTCTTAATATCAATGTCAAATGTGATACAAAAGTGGTCGGACATACACATTTCGTTTTGATCTAAAACTTTAACATTCTTAATAAGGTTTTGAATGTTAGTGAACACAAGATCTAAGGTGTTGCCTGACTTGTGAGTAGGGGAGCTAATAAGTTGTGTATGTCCGAGGTCATCAGTGAGAAAATTTACAAAGCTAGAATGTAGCTGGCAAGATGACTGACCATCTGGCCAGGAAATCGAAGCCAAATTAAAGTCACCTACCAGAATGTGCCTTTGCAATTTTCTGGCAGATGCTAAAGTAACAAAATGTTTCTTGAAAGATTCAAAATTATCTAAGCCAAGCGTTCCTACTCTATAAAATGTTGATATACAAAAGTTTCTTCCACACTGAGTCTTAATAATGATGGATAATAATTCAGCTTGAACACTAACTTTAGAGAACTTTAGACTCGAGATATCAATGTCTGTACTATGGGCAATCAGAACACCACCACCGTTTTTTCTGAATTTCTTGGGCTGGGTTGCATCCACTGGATGCGATCTTAAGGATCGGTCAAGCCTAAATACTTTGTATTTGTCAGGGAGCACCTCATTACTGAGAATGGAATTTTTCAGCCATGTCTCGTTTAGAATAATGATGTGAGGCTTATGTTTGTAGATATAACCATGGAATTCATGTATCTTGGTCATATTTAGTGGTGGTGTTCCTGATGCTAAATCGCGTGTATTTAGGAAACCATGGACATTATTGTAAACAACGGATAAATTTGGTCCAGGGTTCAGTAAGGAACAATTACAAATTACTATCAGGGAAATATTAAGGAGAGATAGAAAAACCAGACCACACCTAGACATGACCCCAAGCCAGCTGCTGGTTATACTGAAAAGTAACTTAACAGTCTGTTTCGGTGACATGGTAGGTGACAGTTTGGTTTTTGTGGTAGATAGCAATTTTACAGAAATTGCAGCTAAGGCTGTCCCAATGCCCCCCTCCCCCCTATACACAAGTTTAAAGTGTCTGAGAAAAATGGTACAAAATATTACCATAAAGTAAAGATTTATGGATGACCTCAAACATGGTACAGAGTGTATTTTAGGTTGTAGGGGAGCACCAGGGAGTATATTAGCATCGATAGTCAAAGAAAATATATACAAAATAACATAAAAATAAAATATACCCAATAGAGCACATAACATATGACGAGACAGAAGACAGGACAACAAATTTTCCCCGTTACCTATATTACTTTTACTGATGATAACATACCTAGAAAACATACCAGTTGCAACACGGTGTTGTTGAGCCGATATTCCCATAGAACTTTAAAGTATATTATTAACAGAATTGTGTCTCGCCGTTGTGTTTTGTCAGGTATTGTGCTATGATATGAAGTAACATACATTATGCTATCACTTCGTTTGAATACATATAAATAACATCCAAATGATCAGATCCAATAGGATACTGATGCAGACAATGAAAAATTGAAATATTGAATTGGATTACCACATCAGTATCCCATTGGATTAAACCACTTTGAGTGTATGATTCTGAGATAGAACTTTGCCAACACTGGCATCCCAGCCTTGGGGCTGGGATGAATATCATAAAAGCCCCTATTGTCACACTTAGGAAATAATCTCTCGTTTCTGTTTCCATAGCGGTCTAAGAATGCCCAAAAAACATCAAGGTAAAACAGTTTATGCCTAGAGCAGCGATCAAAGATCAAATTATTCATAGCACAAACATTACCAGGGATTTTCTCTTGTCCGTTGGGGTGGACTGGTGGAATAGCTTGTACAAAAACACGTGCATTTGGATAAAGTTTTTTTTTTTTTTTTGCTGTCTTCATAAGGTCACTCACAGGGGTCTTGAGATGATTGACCCCCTGGGTACAGTACCGAATGTCGTTGGCACCGAAGCTTAAGAACAGTTTCTTTACCTGCACAAGAGGGTTCTTTGTATAAAAGGCCTCAATAGATTTCTGTATAGCTGACATCTTAAGCCCACCCTTAGCTATGTTGGTGACAGTTTCTTTACCTCTACTGAGGCGATCAGCGTCCAATCGAGCAGCAAAGGAGTCACCAGCAATGAGAATGATAGACTTCTGGTGTTTTTGAGAGTCTGTGATGGGGGCTTTTGGGGATACTTTATTAGGACTGTCGGATGTAGGAGAGGGAAGAATAGGAGATGAAGGGGAAGAGGAAGAGGAAGGTGTGGCTAACTTTCTGAAGGACAGACTATACCTCCAACAAGTTTCATTGTCAGAAGGTGCAACTCCTGGGGCAATCCTGTGCCTCATGACTTGCTGTGCACCAGGCTTCATGATGTTCAGTGTGCCATTGGTGGCAGGGAGGGTGAAGTCTGCGTTAATCAACTCTTGGGCTGGCCTTGACCTAGAGGCCCTAGTTGTGCGTTGTTCTACTTGGGTTGTATCCAGTACAAACTCAAGTGACCGTGGAGCTCCTATTGAGTAAGTGCAAATGGAGCTGGACTGTGATATTATTAGGTCTTCATCGTCTTTATGGAGGCTTAACTTAGCTTGCTGAGTGTCGTACCTAGTAACAAGGCAAGCATCCATGTTGTTGGTGGTGGAGGGGAGGTCATTAATAAGTCCCATCAACTTAAAGATGCTAGGGAAGTTGTTGATGGGATGTGGCTTGTTAACTATGTTACCAAAGCAGTAGTCTTCTGATGAAGGGCTTAGCCATAGGGTGTGGACTTTTTTAGATTTGCCTTCAAGATTCATTGAATCCAATTCTTCTGTGATTTTCTTGAATAGATTTTCGTTCATTCCAGGGAGGACTGGGACGTGCTCTACGAGCGCATGTGGGCTATACGAAACATTTTGAACAGTAGTTTCCTTCTTCGTTTTCTTTTCCTTCTTCTTTTCATCTAACCGTTCTATCTTTGAAGCAAGCTTTTCCTCTTTCAGACTGTCCAGGATACTCTCAGTGAGGAGGGTATGCATGTGTTGCTTTACTTCAAGAGATAAGTTTTGCAGTAAGGCGAGGAAGTTGGCGGGCAGTGTTGGCATCTTGTTGTGAAGTGTGGGAGGATCGGGAGGAGACTGGGTGATCTGGATAAGAGATCAACAGCAGGATGTTTCAGTGGCACCGTTATAAACCCTAGCAATCTGGATCTGAAACAGTCAATAGGCCAGAGATTTATAGTTCAGAGTGAAAAAATTTGAATTATAATGAACAGAGTTGTGGTAAAGAACTGTATAGCAGAAAAAAGAATGCAATACTTATCTAAGGGAGAAGTAGCTAAAAGGAGTTAACAAATTTCAAACATCACTAGATCTCTAACAATTAAACTAACCTCGTACCAGACCGCAGGAGCCCTGGCAGTACAAGACTACCAGGGCAATAGGAAGAAACGATTACCACCTCCACAACATGCCATCTAACTCAGATCCATCACACCCAGGACACCGGCAGACTTTACTCCAACGGATTACTCATCGGTAGCCATGCCTAAATAAATGTAATAGATTTGTAGTGTTGTAATTAGTTTAAAACTAGGTCTATATTAATTAGGTCTATATTTGAACATTGTTCTGTCATATGGTCCCCTCAATCTGCAACTCATCTTCAACAGTTTGTTGCTATCCAAAAGAGGGCTATTAAATGGATCAATGGTGAACCTTACTCCAGTTATAATGACGATAAACTTGCTACAGAACAAAAGAAACTAAATATTCTCCCTGTTAAACAGAAGTTTATTTATAACGATCTTATGACCTTCTATAAAATAGTGAATAGCATAATTCCAGTTTCGCTCCCTACATATATAGTCCTATGCCGTCCAGAGGGCACCCGATACACTAGGCACAATGCTCAAATAATTGATATGTCGGATACTTCAACTTACATGAGTACCACTGTGCCCTGCTCGGATGCCTTCCGAAATAGCTTTTTTCATAGATCTATGCTGAAATGGAATAGTCTACCAGTATGTATCCGGCAGTCAGAGCGTATTTCTACTTTTAAGGCCAAACTGATCAAGTACCTCTGGGCTGCCGATACAGTCTGGCCAGATTAGCTCATCAGTCTTATGAGTCTCAGAAATTTGTTTTTGTTGGTTACAATTCTGTCCGTCCAATTTCCTATCTGCTTGTCCTTTTCTTTTTTCTTTATCAGTTGTGACGGAATTGTAATGAACAAAATCCTTATAATTATTTATGATATGTTTGATTTCTTGTTAATGTTTGTCATTCAAATTTGGTAGACGGCCCCAACGTTAATGTGGCTCTTGCTATGTGTTGGTTCAGCCGAATTAATTATTATATAATCAAGTTTATTTTTCTCGTTAGTTGTCATCCGGCCAAACATTAAGCAACTTATATTGCAGTACCATTTATCATTTAGTAACCAAAATATGTCATTGTAATTTTGCATGGCTGAAATGTAACGCTTGATTTATATATATAATGATTAATTGAATTTTCAAATAAAAAAAAAAAACACAAGCAGGGAGACTGTACCGATTATTTTTCCCCAGTCCATGAAACTCTAACGAATTTAGAAAGGATCCAGATAAGTAGGAGTTTGTTCAATTCCGAGAGCAATTATATTTATAGCATAGCGAAATTTCTAACTTTAATCCGCATGTGTCAGCCAGTACAGGAGACAAGAAGTCTGGCTACTTTACGGCCGTTCCTCTGAGACCATTAATAGAAGTAGCTTCTATCAGAACAGTGCCGTGGGAACAGAATTCCCGCCAAAATACCCGGTCTACCAAATAGTAATACTGATTGGAGTGTACGGTGTGAGGTGTGATTTGAATTAGACTTACGGCTTACCTAGTTGTTATCCTAATTGCATTATCATCGGTACATAACATAAATAAACTACTGGTAAGTTTAAATACCAAGTGCAAACGTGTTCAGTCAATCGACCCACTGAACAACTATGGAATTTCCAAGACCCTATTATTCTCTGGCCATATATTACGGCACGATCGATTGTTAGATGGCTAAACGACCAACGTTAATCTATACAATTCTAAAACTATGAGCTAGCACTTTAATCTAAAAATACACTTTTTATATTACTCCTGATTTTTACATTTCACGTAAAACATTGTCGCCACAGGTTGATCATGGACACTAACAGCTTAATTTTTAGATAAATGACTTATGACTTTCTCTAAAGTTAACTCTAAAGTTGTGTAGTCCAGTCATTTATGGACATTTATGGAAATGAACCTGCAAATGTTCAAATACTCACGAAACTTTGCACAGACCCGAAGTTATGAATAAACGATTTTCGTTTGGAGACATTTTTTTGACCGTGGAGAAAACCCAGGAGGGCCACGCCCATATTGACCCAATAACGTAACCGACCCCTTGCTTCTGAAGGTCGTAGAGACTTCAAAATAGGCTTAAACGAAGCCGCATATGCATGTTTATATAGGAGTTATTGAGCAACACATGGCCTAAAATCCTCACTTTTCGATAAATTCGCCAAAAACCATTTTGGGCGTGGTGCTGAGCCCATTTTCGATAGGATTGTGATAGAGTCTTTAGACAGGGTGCAAAAGAACCGCAATTAGCATATTAATATATGACTTACGAACAAACATATGCCTTAAAGTGCTTACTTTTTCAGTTATTGGCGAAAAACTAATTTTCGGTTCCAGAAATCATGCAAAACTATGGGTATCTGGTAAATTGGGCTATGAAGGCCCTAAAGCTTTTTGAATGTGTGCAAATTGTACAGAATGGCCATGTTTATATACAACTTATGAAGCAACATGTACCCTAAATTACTTACTTTTCGAGTTATTCGGGGGAAAAGATTGTATTATGACCTGTAAAATACAGTCTCACGAGCTCTTCTGCGCGCGCAAGGGACTTTATGACGTCATCGCCAAAATAATACAAACGCTATTTACACGCGTTAGAGAGCAGTTAGAGATTTAGGAATTTCGACTCGTTGCTTAGTTTGCTATTTGTCACAATCTGTCAAAATATGAGGATAACTTTTTTTTCAGTTAACTGGTCCTTTAATGGTTGAGCTGTAGTGTGAAATCATAGTAATAATGCTTCATGAATCACCTAGCAACCTTTTAAAATTCACTCTGTAATTTTTGGGATATTTTAATGAAATTATTATTTATATAATTGAGGGCTCTCTATAATAATAATATAAAGGTCGATGCGCAATAACTAAACTGATTAACATTGTCGTTAATTAAACAAACTTTACCATCCATACTAATTACTAGGAGGATTATTCACAGGGTAAACTGTTTCAGACTAAAGTCTAAACTTATTTAACGAAACATACAAATCATGATAATATATTATGTGTCTCAATTCTTAAGTCTCTTTTTTATTTTAAATAATACTTTCAGTAGGTAATTATGATGAGGACGTGAGAAGTGATATGGCAGTGTGCTCAGTGTGCAACAAACCTAACAGCACACATTCAGAATCTCTTATACAATGTGGCAAGTGTAAATTCTACGTTCACAAAGGTAATATATTATACAATTTTAGAATATTTTAATGTCACGTGCATTTATTATTTGTTACTTTAGGTACCCAAGCTCTTCTGAGCTTACATGAAACAAAATGAATGAAAAACTTAAACCTTTTATGTACCGGTAAATCAGATCAATTTATACAGTGCCCTATTTTCAGAATGTTACGGTATACCTAGCCAGTTCTCCACTGTAGAAGGTTGGCATTGTCAGCGGTGTACACTCGGAGCAGGAAACGAGCGTTGTCAGCTCTGCCCGTTTGGTGAGGGCGCGCTTAAGAAGACAGATAACGGAGGCTGGGCTCACATTCTCTGTGCTCAATACATTCCCGAGGTAATGAAGAATTTCTTCTTCGGAGAATATCACGCGTACTTCTGTGATATTAATTGGAGCTGCCTTCTTGACTTGTAAAAAATATCTAGAATTATAAGGATTTAAGGAAATGAGAAATCATTTTGATACGTTTTCAGTGGTTTGCAAATAATAGTGGTGATATTCCTAGTAATAACACGTATCGTCACCAGGTCATATTTGGTAACAACTACTCGATGGAGCCAATAAACCTTGCTGAAGTCCCGGGACCTAGGTTCCAGCAAGTGTGTTATATTTGCGACGAAAAGGGAGATGACATGGCTAAGAGACAGGGTGCCTGTATGCAGTGCAATGTTCAGGTATATGCAATGATCAGTATGTGCCTCATAATTGGCAAATAGATTATCGGAGAGATAATGAAACAAAGTCTTATCCGATCTATGGTAGAAATTCTCTGCGTCGGAATTAAAAGCTGTAGATGTCTACGTTTTTCGGGAGAACTATATATACTAACTACAAGTTCTTCCGAAAGGATTAGACTCTAATCAATTCACTGATACCCACCGGCCACCGCATACAAAACTTCTTAGTAAATATATCCCCTCCTCCTCAGAACTGTATCAACTGTTTCCACGTGACATGTGGCCAGAAAGCTGGACTTCTGGTGGCTGAGGACTGTGAAAATAGACGGATTGTGGATTACTACGGGTTCTGTAGTCGTCACGTCAAACACAAAGCTAGCAGTTCTAAATTCGGGGAACAGTCTACTGAGTGAGTGATTTTGCAATGTATTTCAAATTGACTGGTTAATGGTTACTGAGTGAGTGTTTTTAGTGAAGTACTCACATGATGGGTTTGCTGTGAAACATAACAATATTCCATATTTTTATTTTACAACGGGGCCTCTCTGCACTTTCAATGGATTTAGCGTGTGTTCTAGTGCTCTTGCCTACGGTTGCCTAGAAAATTATTGTACATCGTATGTTATTGTTCAGATTACGATTATACTCGGTAAGGTATTATGGAACCGCAAATAAAGTTACTTACTAACAAAACATAATACTGTGTTCTATTGTGAAATCGTATAGTCCATATTCTGCATAATTCACGAGGTCTACATTAAGTTTTATCCTAACTGTAGGTAACATTTTAATGTATTATAATCTTTTGAGTTATTTAAGTGTTTATAAACACTATAATTCATTAATTTATTATACTTCATACCTAAAAAGAAGTTGATACCTAAGTGACTTCAACCTGTTCAAGCGCAAACGATATATTATCATAACAACTTATATAAGTAAATAGTTTTACTTTCAGTAGCAGCAAAGAGAAGCTGCCAGCAGTGGACACGTTGTTGCAAGCCCAGCAGCTGAAAGATGTTACTAAGATACTCCCCAGTATTGGTAACGCACCTAAAACACTGCCTTTTGATAACGGGACAAACTTTAAACCTGTCCAGCCTAAGGTAGGTATTGTGTGTGTATGTAGGCTTGGGTATGTGTGTAATTGTATACAAGATAATGTTGTATATACACTTTGTATGTAATTATAATCATGATGTGCACGAAAAACTAAATTTAGATTGTATTCGTTCGATGATATGTATATCAACGATTTTTCTGCAGGTCCAAGCACAGCCAATGCCATTTCAAGGGGTCCATAAGCAAGACAAAATTATTGATAGTGGAATTTTACAAGTGGGTGAATTTCTTATTGTTTTTTATCTGTTCAATTTGAATTTTCAAATGCTAAAACATCAGATTTGGGTTGATAATATTGTATAAAATAATCTACAATACAAAATAATCTACAATCTAGAAAACACGAAATCGTCCATAATGTAAGTCTCAATGGGAGTCTTGTCAGCCCCAGGGAGCATGTACTCGTCGTAAACATTCTTCGCATTCTTCTCTGACTCCCCACTTTTCCACTTCTTCTTCGAGAGGTTGGATTTGACCTTGCGTAGAGCCCGTCGTGTAGCATGGATAGCCTGAAGAGCTGGAGTGTAGCAGGACACAGGATGGTCTGTGCAGGTGGAGGGGAGGCGGACTAGGGAGCTCCGTGAAGGGCCAGAGGGAAAGCGGTATCTCCTGGTTATTGTTAGGTTAGAATTGTAGAGTAGAGAAGAGGAACCAGAGGTGTTAGATTCAGGGATAACAGTGTATACTGGAGAGGGAGATGTTGTAGATTCCGAGGAGGATGGTGGATCAGAGGAGGGGATGGTTGGTGGTTCTGAACTAGAGCTAGATGATGTAGAGGTCTTCCTGGAGGAGTTAGGAGACATGTTCTGATAAATAGGATCGTCTTCCTGGGATGGGAGGTTCTCGTATGTGCTCTCATCAGTCTCCTTATGAACTTCACAGGGTGGAAAGTTCTCGTAAACAGTATCTTCAGTCTTATTTAGATAGGAAGGAGATAGAGGAGGTGATAGGCTGTCATAAGTGGTGTCAGGATGGTTCATTTCAACATAGATAGAGCCCAGGGTTCCCTGTGAATCAATAAACTGAGGAGGAGGTGGGTAGAGTGTGGAGTCCTTGTCTTCATCTGCTGGAGGAGGAGGGAACTGAAGTGGTTCAGTCTGGTTTAACCTGGTGGTGAAGCTAGTATCGTTCTGTATAGGAGACATAGTTGTGCAAGATAAGAAAGCGGAAATGATGATATGTTAGCTGGGTTGTGTGTGTTATATAGGTGATAAGCTTGTTAAACTGTACTTGTGGTTCGTGGCAACGAGCTTGCTGTCCTGACGCGATCCTGTCATCAATACGATGTGATCCTCGATGTGAAAGGGTGGCATGCAATAATGTGATTCGATTGTGATGTGATCCATTGCCTGATGTGGTGTTTACGTGATATGATTCAACAAGCGTTGTGAACAATGAACATGTGATCTTGTTAGTGATCCTGTTCCGTACCAATATGACTGGATAACAAGTAATAATTACTCTAAACCCACTAAGAATTGTAATGAACTTCGCTCACAGACGACGGAAGGTGACGGGTACCCAGCGAAGAGAGAAGGTGACACCATCAACTCCAGCTCCACAGCCAGCGCTACCACCAGTACTAACAGCACGCCTTCTTCTGTTCCTAAAACCAGGAAACCTTCCTCCGAGACTGGTTGGTACTCTCAGTTCTAGTTCTAGTTCACTTTGTAGTTCTACGACACTTTAATTTCATCTATCCAGCATCTCTCTCCTACTGACATCCTAATTTTCATATCTAATATGATCTGCAACAATTCATTCTCTAAATATTAGCTATTGTTGGAGAAGATAATCATTAATTTGTTAACCACTAACAAAGTCTCATACCTACTGCAGACACTGCTGACAGTGAAGACCTAGGATCTGAGCCCATAGTCAAGACACTTCAAACCTTAAGCTACAGTACGGGAGAGAAAACTAAACTGAAGATATCCAAGCAAAGTGCTCCTAGTAAAGGAGTGCGTGATTTGTTACTTTTAGTTTATAGTTTCAGAATCGTGATCTTGAGTTTATTTTCTGTGATATTGCAATTTTATGCCGTAAATTATTCTTTAAATGATACAACTATCATTCCAAATGTTTATATCATATCAAATGTTTATGTATATATAATATCAAGATATCAACTTTGAGAAAACCATGTTGATGAACACATTGTATGATATTCTTATCCCTCAGCTCTCCAATATCTCAGTACCAAAATCTCCTTAGCAATATCTCATTACCAATACCTCAGGACGGTAGTGACGGTGGAGAGCAATATAACGATCTTCTGGACGTCTTCTCCAAGAAATCCAAGAAAAAGAAATACAAATCTCCCGACTCAGAGTTATCTGATTACATTCCTTACAATGAACGTAAGAGCAGAAGTCTTCACAAGAAGGGTAAAAGAGGCAAAATGAAGAAGGACCCTCTGAGGATACGATCTCTCAAGTCTAAGATCAAGTCTCCCAAATATAATCACAATAGCTACATGTACAAGTCACCTCCAAAAACCCCTGTAAAAGTACAAAAATCCCAACTTCTGAACGGAGATAAAGGTTAGTCAGCTAATTTAAACGTTTTGCCTCGTCCTCGTTAAAATAATCTATTATCTATACTAATAATCTCAAGATGTGTGTTCGTTCGTTCGTTCGCGTGTAATTTCCGAACGGCTTAATCAAGAAAATGATAAGAGATATGTGACTGGTTTTTTCGGTTAGTGCCGACAAAACTCTGACGAAGCCAAATGAATAAGGTTTTTCAAATCGGTCGGTCGCGGTGGTAGGTTGTTTAATTGATCATTTTGTGACCCAAATGTGATACTAAAGTGTCTAACTTACTCTCCCTCTCTCCCACTCTCGCTCTCTCTCTCCTTATAACAAATTTGCTATATAATTAATAATTTGGCTGGAGACCTCAAGATTGCGTATCAAGTATTACTATTATAAGATACGTGAGGGGCACTCAGAATTAAATTGCGGTGTGTTTGGACAGAGCGAGTTCATACTTTCGCACCGTTTTAACTACGAAAATGTAATGCGTGTTTTCGAATATAAGAATATAATAGGCGGGTTTATACTTTTGCATTTTCAACTCACGATAGTGGAGTCCTGGCAGTAGGCACGGGTTACACTAGCTAAATGATAAACGTAAGGCTGTTAAGAAATAGAGATATTATGAAGAAATTGTTACAAAAATATATTTCAGGGTATTCGCCCACAAGTATAGTTAGTTCTATGATGGAAGAAACAAGAGACCGACCGGTTGAAGATTACAAACCTTGCACCGGGAAACCTCTCATCACACTAGACACATTCTTCGATAGATTCAAAGAAATGGGCATGCAGTACATTCTCGATAAGTGTCAGAGTGAGAAATCGAGGGAGACTCTCAAGCAACTGCAGGAACTAAACCAAGTTAATTCCTATCTGGCAAACAGAATAAAAGCCAAATCATCAAAACTTGAGCAGCTGAAGAATCTGAATGCAAGGTTATCAGTACCATATTCAAAACCTCTGAGAGCTCTGCCAGAAGCAATTCCTCTTAGTAAAGCTGCCACAGAACTTTTGTCAACAATTCACAAGCCTCCAGAGTTCAGGACTGACATTATCATTGCTGAAACATTTACTGATAAAGAGATAATTGAGAAGCAGTCTAAAAAAGACCCACAAGTTTCATCACCAGAAGAACCACCACGACCTACCACTATTGAAGAACCAGAAGTGGTAGTGAAACTACCGGTCCCAGCTTCTATGTCAGCATTAGTTCCTAAACCTACTGAACCAAACAGTAGCGAGAAACCTGAAGAAGCTGCAGCCTCAAAAGATACTGAAACACCCACCACAGATACCCCTCAGATAATAATAGCCGGAGATCCGCCCATGGCTTATACCTACAAGGATGGGGCCCTTGTTGGTTACCCTGAGGCGCTTCAGTCGTCTCTTACCTACAACAAAGCCTTGGAGGATCAGTATAATAAAGTTGTAGAGCAGCACTACAAGGAGAAGATTAGCGCTGCTTACTTTGAGGTCAGTTGCTAATTAATTGATCAGTTAATTCTAAGTAATAACCTCATCATGATACTTACTAAATTACCTTGTCAAAGCACCGTCGTAATAGTGTCTGATAGTACCGTTATTGACAGGCCCAGCGACGACAGTATGAGGGTTTACTGCAACATCAGATGCAGAGTAAGATGCAGGCTAGCGATTACCTGACTCAAGCCTACCTATCAGTAAGTATAACTACTTTGTCAACACAGGTTACTCGTTTAAGGTGAAGTTGCAAATTGGACAAAACATGAGATGAGAGAGTTAAAATGTTCCAAATATCACTACAAACCACACCCTTAAAACTTTAAAAGAAGTACTTGATTTCCTGAATTTTGGAGAGTTCATCTCAACTACTCTGAAACCAAAATGGAAACATTGCCCCAGAGCCCTTTCTGAACATGCTAGGCACACCAAACTTCTCAAGGACACTCCTGGTATCAATACCGATCGATTCTAATCGGTTTTAGTTTAATTCAGGCGAGTGAAAAGAAAATGTTCATTTTATGTTCATTTCATTCATTCCATGAATCAGGGAATATTTCCCAGGAGGCTGAAAATGTTAGTACACATGCCCCTCTATCATACCAGGGCAAATCCCACTCAGTTCACGGACATATACAGCCGAAAAACATGTATCAGAAGTTGTCTCAAATGTTTCCAAAATCTCGGATTCATCTTCTGATTTTGGAAGGCGCGAAGCAATTTTAGTGATAAAAGTCCACTTTTCTAATACTTACGCTGCGCGCAAATCCAATTATATGCCAATTATGATGTTTACATTTTGTAAATGTACAAGTACTTTTGAATGTATTATATTTACGTTCGCATCGTCGCTATGTTTATTGTGGGTGTATCATGAAAATACGGCTTTATTGATCTGACTTGTATATTCCCAGGACCCATTCACGGCGAGTTATTACTACGCTCAACAGACTGGCAGGCAGATGCCCTCATTGACCCCTCATTTCCCCTCCAACCCCTCACTACCCGCTCCCTCCTACAGTGGTCTGTCTTCTAGACCTGCTGTTACTAGACCTGGCTAGGAGTATCAGTCATCGGACCAAGTTTATCCACCTGAATCAAATTCCCTCTGCTCGATCGACAAAGCAATATTATCCACTGCTCACCGCCATGGACTAACCTTGAGGGAGCGTTCACATATGACGTCAGCAGCCGAGAGGGGAGGGGGGTTGGAAATGCAGACGGGGGGAGGGGGTCTGGGCCTTGCTGACGTCAGCAAAAATACGTGCATTTTGACAAAAGTTGTTGTTTTAAATACATTTTATTAACAATAAAACTTTGCTAATTTCCTTAATATTAGTGCTTCGGTGAACTGAACTCTGTTGACCAACTTTAAATCAGTCACACACTAATTTTCCCTGCCTTCACCCCCTCGTTGGCTGACGGGAGGGGATATGTAATAAGTAAGGGGGTTAAGAAGGCAAAGTGGGAGGGGGGTTAAATTTGACAAAATCTTGCTGACGTCATAATATGTGAACGGTCATCAAGAACCAATGACACCTATATACGATGAGATTATTTGAAAACATAGTGAACTATGCAATGTATGTTCAAATGTATATCTAGATATTCGATCGTTTGTGAATGACCTCTTTACATAATTTACCATGTTTGTTTATTTTTCTTTCTAAAATTTCATTCGCATATTTAACGGAGTTGGCACGTCTCCAGGGAGAAAAGGACTTGCGGTGACTAACAAATACCCCGCTGTGCAGTGGGCATAAATCATATATTCAATGTGGGACAGTTTTGAAAAACTTTTAACTGAAGCAAATTTGCGCGTTTTGCTCTAAAGTCATAATTTTAGAAATTTTACCGGTGAATTCTCTCAAGTCACTTAATTTGTCTAATTTTACCTTTCTGCTTTATGAGGGGGAGGATGCTAACGCGTACAAATGTAAAATCTCTAAATTAGGTGATTTTAGAAGAGTCGCCAAAAAATCTATAAATTAATGTGTTTCTACACAGATCAAAACACGTAATTTTGCTATTACTTTAGTTAATTTTTTCCAAAGTGTCTCGCATTTAAACGCGACAATTTTGTTCACCTGCACTGCCGAGTCGTTACGCCACTGGACTCTAGTCCGAATGTTATCCAAGTTTATGCCACCGATGCTCGAAATAAGAATCCTACCCGCCAATTCAGACATTTAAGACGCCTATCAAGTTATTGTCCCCATCACCTGCTACACAGACGGGTCACGCACAGACTCAGGTAGCGGGGCTGGTTATATTATCACCACTGACAACAACAACACTACACTAGATGACAGATCATTCAAGCTTCCCGATTATTGCACCGTTTATCAAACAGAACTCACTGCCATCATCGAAGCTTGTAAATATCTATCAACTTATACCAACACACACATCATCATATGGTCAGACAGTCTCTCCTCTATTCAAGCTATATCCTCGCCCTGGCCCTCAACGAGGAGTAGAACTACTAGAGACTGTTACGACACCCTCAATACACTCGGATCCACTAACACCTTAGAGATCAGATGGATAGCAGCACACATCGGATTGTGGGGTAATGAAAAAGCAGACGAGCTGGCCAAAAATGGCACAACCAGTGAATCCACTTTGAATTGCCCAATTCCACAATCTTACATCAAACGCCTGATCAACGACAAAGTCACCAAACTTAATCAAGAATCATGGATTACTGATGGTCCCAGACAGTGACACACTAAACTGACACTTGGACACAAAAAAATCAAAAATCTCAACACTACACTCAGTAACAACAGACAAAATTACAGAACTGCAGTGCACCTCATCACGGGACATTGTGGCCTCAACAAACACCTACACACCATTCGCAAATCAGACACAAGTGCTCGTCCTAAATGCGGCGACGAAGAGGAGACTGTCTCACACTTTCTCGGACAGTTCCCGGCTATTGCCCAAATAAGAGGTCAATATTTCCGGGACTACTACCTCTCTGTCAATGACATATTCGACAACCAACACATCTCCACCATTGTCAACTTTGCAAACCACACTAAACGCTTAATGGTGCCAGAGGAGTTGGACCAGACAGGTGTAACATAGCGACTACTTGAACGCCGTCTTATTTCGCCTCTCTCTTCCACACTCAACCACCACTTAAGCGTTCATCTATGACACACCCCACAACACTTACCATCATCCTTGATTACACATCTTGATTCCACTGGCATCCTCCCACAGGATTGCCATACCCCAGAGGTAGGCAAAGCATTCATATGCTATCCTCTCGTGGGCTAACCAGGCCCAGCCTCTCTTAAACATTTTTTTTTTAAAGACCCAACCCATCTCCTATATTTATAATATATTACGTAATCAAGATTAGACACCCCCCAAAGCACTACTAAACGAAAATTGGTTTTAAAAAAGAAAATTTTGATTACATAATTAACGGAAATTGTCAAATTGGTATTTCGAAAATCGGCAAAAAATTAAAATTTTGATTACGTAATCAACGACCAAAAGTAAAACCCCCGCGTAATCAACCGTAAGCATTTGAAACCCCCCTCCCCCCTCGGCTGATTTCGCAATATGTGAACGACCCCCTATCCTAATGATGGGGTACCGGTAATACTCAAAAATTCAACTTAATCCACACACTCGAAATTGTGGACTGCATCATGTTTCGAACTGAATTGTATTTTATTTTGGGTTTGTTTTTCTACTTTGTATTTGCGAATGAAAAGAAAAAAGAGTTTCGATCGTAAAATGAAAAAGTTGAAAATTCTTCGATATAGATGAGACCTTTTAAATGAGATTAAATTAAGATATTCATTCGCTAGACAAAATCACGCCAATGTAATTGTAAATCATACTCGAAATATTTGTTAGTAGTATAGCAGGGAATCAAAGTGTCTATTTAAAGCTACAGCACTATGTCATCAAAATCTACCGAACAATTCTTCCTAATTTAATTGATACAAGCAATTTAATTCAGGCGAGCTACTGTCTTTGCTAACTTTTTATTACATTTGCATGTCTGCCTCCGTCAAACCAACACGAGCTTCTGTTTCCTTTACTTTTTCTGAAAATTATATTGTTTCGAGTTAGGTTGTTAAAGCTATTGCCTATATTTATAATAGTAGTAGTACATAGTACTAGTATTAACTATTGGTGCAACAAAAGTATTGCTAGGAGGTTTCTCTCTCCACGAAGAAAGCTATTAAATTAAACATGTTAAATTTCGATTATAGCACTATTAGTATTATACTATTTTACCTGTTGGTCCGACTTCACAAATGAAGGGTAATTTTTGGTCGGGGCTCAGAGTCTCCCACTCTCCTCCTTCGTTTATTGCTGCCACGGCTGATTTCATCCTGTAATGTGACTATTATAATTGTTTACTATACACTGCACATTGAAAATGTATCCAGAATGAGCACCCGAACAGGTTTAGTATATTTTAAAAAGATAACAGCCTTACTCTGACTTCTGAGTTTGAGCACCATATTCAAACTTTGCGTATTTGAAGGGAGAGTTATCTACCCAGGCCCATGTGGTCTTTGAATTGTTATCGTTGTAGTGAGCGTCGTACAGACCTGTAACATTAACAATACTTGTCAGTGATCATATCCCATAGAATTATTGATAACCAGGTCATTAAGCAAGCTATTAAAACTTTCAGTGAATTTTACCAAAACCCATATTCATGGGTAGAGTGGACCGCTGCCAGTGTCTCTCTTTCCCAAACAAAAGGAAATGATATTAATTTGATTGACCGTTCTCAAATGCAAAATGATACCGAGAATGAAATCGGTCGCTCGCTTTTTCCATTCATTCACGGCTTACGAATTGTAATAAATTTCGATTGATTACATCAGTCAGATGCTGTAAAAATCTCTTTGGGTTGCGTTCGGATCGATACCTAGTATTTCGGGGTAAGGGTAGTAGTTATTGCTTATTGAATTAGCTGAAGTTTATTGAATCTTTATTGCCGAGTACAGCTGCCTTTGGGTAGATCTTCTTAATCTATTACAATTGTAAATGAATGGGAAAAGCGAGCGACCGATTTCATTCTCGGTATCATTTTGCATTTGAGAACGGTCAATCAAATTAATATCATTTCCTTTTGTTTGGGAAAGAGAGACACTGGCAGCGGTCCACTCTACCCATGAATATGGGTTTTGGTAAAATATCATCTCTTTTTGATTATAATGTCAGGGTACTTTATAAAGTCGAAATATAAACTGATATCTTCATTAATTAATAAGGAGGAAGTTTCAACGATTTCGAAATTTTCCTTTAAAAACATTTCCTTGTGTTTAGGTAAGCATATCGGTCGATCACTGACTGAATATGCCACCTAATACTCATTCAAGTTGGCATTAAATTCATATATAATGACATTAAACTGTCGTGGCAAAGCAGAATTTGTTGGAAATCACGAATGAGCAAAATTCTCACCTTTCGCACGTGCAAACTTTGAGCGGACGTTGCGTGCGCATCCAATATTGAATCGCCGTAAATTTTTTCATGTAATTGTTTTATATATAGCTTGATAAGCATGCAAAGTTTCAAAGTATTTCAAGAAGAACTGTAATCACAACGGCACTCTAAAGTTGACAGAAAATGACGAAAACAGCAATTTTCAGTGATTTTAGCAATTTTCTATCAATTTGGGCGTGTCCCCACGTGTGCAACTTTTCGATTTTCAACTTCAAAACTAGCCTAATGCACAATTTATACCTATAGGAAGCAGAACTGAGCTCCTCAACTCAAGGCATGGCCCAACACCAGAGAATACTAAATCGCAAAATTGACGTTTTTATAAAATAATTCTTCAAAAAAGCACAAACTTCAATGACGAATATCTTTATGAATGAGCAAGCTAGAAAAACTTTCCGGTAGATTTTCAGAATGCTTGAACAATTATCTAAGATGAAAATCTCCTCAGATTTTGAATAAAATTACTCCTTAATGGTTTAAAATTAATTTTAAAAGTTATTACTTTGTCAAAAATCAAGTTTTAAAAACGGTTAACTTGATGACGTCATCAAGGGGTGTTTATGACGTCAAATAATTTTTTTATACAATGTAAACTAAAGTGTAAACAATTATTTGCAAGACCTGTGGTCGGAAATGGCTTTATCTTTTATACTTTTGAATCTATGGACAATTAAATACAGGCTACAATTGACTGGCAAAGCGTCTATCCCTGAATATGTATGTATATATAATTATATATCACGACAATCTGTCGTAAAACAGGGGTTCTAGAAAACCCATTTCCCGATACTCCTGAAACCTGAAACTTTTTTTGCAGTCGATTTGATCAACGTCTAGACGCCCTGCAAAGTTTCAGATCTCTTACTCATTTTTAACGTGGTTTTTAAGGCACCTGAATATGGCGATTTTAGGTTTTTTACCTAATTTCGTATAACATGCTGGCGCGTATTTTGCACAAATTTCTTAAAAACCTCCACATAACTATTTCTTATTCCTGTCATCTTTAACATTGAATTAGAATGGGGGTGAGCAGTAAGGGGGGTAAATAGTAAAGGGGGTAAATAGTAGAGGGGGTAAATAGTAAAGGTGGGTAAATAGTAAAGGGGGTAAATAGTAAAGGGGGTAAATAGTATTGTGAATATAAGGGCGACGGTCATGCTTGCCAGCATTGTGATTGCTTAAAGAGAATTCCAAAAACTATGATTTGTAAAAGAGTATGAACGAACCGATCCATGCTTCTGTTCTACCATTTGCTACGAGCAGCTTCTTCACCATTTCGTTTGATTTCTGAACAATGGAGTATGTTGGTTATTTTAGTTTAGATAACAAGTACACACTTTAGGATTTATATAGAAAACTCTAAAGGGATTCGATTACCCGTGATTCCATTCATTCACTGAACCATCAGTCATCAGAAAACCAATGAAGATTACCTGTCCGGTTATTACAGCCAGTCTTTTTCCCTCATCTATGCACCTGTCCTTAGCCATAGGCCAAGCCCTGTTCATCAAAGATATCGAGAATCTACCTGTTGTTAGTAATAGTTGTATGATTGATTTTAGTTATCCAATATATAATTTAAGAAATGAATTTTAATTCAATGCTTTTCCTCCATTTATTAACATTTGTTAAGAGCTAGAGATATCAGTATTACATTTTCATTAGTATTTTATATTTCCTTTAAAGAACTCACTCGAATCTGAATGAAGGTAATGTGTCTCTGCACTGGCTTTGGACCATTCTACTCCATCATCGTTGGATCGACCGTACTTGAGTACGAAAACGTGGAACTTCCCATCAGTGAGTTGCGGATAGTAGAAATATGGAACCGCTGCACTAAAATTATATGGTCAGGAAATTTTCACATTAATTTACCAAACTGGATTTCTCCCATTTTAGTTTTACTTGACCAGTTGTGAAAATGAGTGAATTTTAGGCTGAACATGTACTGTAGATAGTTTAGATGTTCTATTTTCAATCAGGTGGGATATAGTAAGGAAACACTCCCCATCGCAATCCATCCGAAATACTTACTACCACCACCAGCAGTTGATATTATATTGAAATTGGATTTATAATTATATACAGCCAGAAAAATTTGTGAAAGTTTTAACTTACTTGAAAGCAAAGTCATAACCCTTTTCGAATCTATTTCCAGTTAGATCGTTTAATTCTTTAGCTGCGATGTGCACCCTGTCTGTATCTGCCGGAACGTTGTTAGGATCGATAACTATCTTGGCAGAATGGTCATACTCCGTGACAGATGGTTGAGCTGGAACATTGTCGCTGAATCCCGCGAGAGAAGAGCCCAATAATCCTCTGAAATTAAAAGGGAGATAAGTTTGGGTATCGAAGAGAAGATTCCCGCCAAAGGGCTATGGAGCCACTCCGAAATCAGGGTCAGTTATCAACAGAGAGATACAAATGAAATATATACTATTTAACGATTTTACTGTAACTCTTGAAATTCTGGGGTATGAAACGTTGTCAAACAAACTACGTTATCAACGATCTTAAAGTTAAATCTAACGATTCAGATAGAAATCATGAGCAGAATGATATCGGTATAGCACGTCTAATCATTTAAAGTGAACTTACATAAGAAATACAGTTAGCAGCATGATGTTAACTGTGCGATCTTCCCGTGTATTAGACTATCTGAGTTGGAGTGTAAAGTGTGGTAGCCGTTGACCCGGACCACATGGTCACGTGGCTTTGTTTCTTGTCTGTGATTGGTGGGCAAGGTTGTAGAGCATAGGGGGACAGTGCTTCATGAGGGAGCAACGCACGGTATACTCTGCGTGTACTCGCAGCTTACCTTTCACAGGGAATAAGCCAGATAATTATGACGTCATGTGTAGTGTGTACTGTTATATACACGGCCATCCTGGATCTATGTTTCTGGGTTAATTCTTCCTATAAAAAAAAGAATTTAAGAAATTATAATCTGTGTTAGGAAATATGCTTTAACAATAACAGAACACTGTTGTTCTATTCAACATCATTCGTATCCCCGTTTTAACATTATACACGTAATGTGTACAATCTGAAATTTAGTCAATTTCTATGTTTTGTGCAAACTTTTTAATCCTTATCATTCTATGAGGTGTGGTAATATTCATTAAAATTAAATAAAATTAAAGCATTAAGTCAGAATTGGTGAAAGAGTTATTATACATTATAAAGTTTTTAGCTTTCCTGAGGAAGTTTAACTCGACAATCTAAGATATTTCATAAAACATACCTTATCGGACGCTATTTGACCGGACATTTCATGGACGGACATAATTTTTAACCGACATTAAAATGGATCTCTAGCGTCAAATTAATGTGCGTTCAAATAAAGTCCGGAAGGGAGGGAGGGAGGGAGGGAGGGAGGGAGGGAGGGAGGGAGGGAGGGAGGGAGGGAGGGAGGGAGGGAGGGAGGGAGGGAGGGAGGGAGGGAGGGAGGGAGGGAGGGAGGGAGGGAGGGAGGGAGGGAGGGAGGGAGGGAGGGAGGGAGGGAGGGAGGGAGGGAGGGAGGGAGGGAGGGAGGGAGGGAGGGAGGGAGGGAGGGAGGGAGGGAGGGAGGGAGGGAGGGAGTCTTCTGTTAAGAATAAGTCTTTGACTTTATTGACCCACATCGTCCATTCTTTGCCGAAAGATTCGTTCATTGTGATTTCTACATTGTAATGCATTTAATTAATCGAATTGGCTGAATCCAACCTGGTGAATGTCTTTGCTAATAAGAATTTATTTCTATACTGTAAGAGTGTATAAATTTATAAAGGCGTTTAATTAATCGCATTTGCTGGATACAACCTGGTGAATGTCTTTACTAATAAGACGTTTATCGTCGCCAGGAATGAGAGATTTGATTAACTTTTGTATAATTCGGATCTGTAACTTCTTCCCCCCAAGGTGCCATGCGGTATGAACAGTGGTGTGGTAGTGGAAGGGAAGAATTAGATTATCAGTTTAACTCGGGTCCTCTAATAAAAGGCGACTCCCCTGGAGTTACCATGGTTAAATCCTGATGGCCGAGACCGGAGACTGTCTGTTGGGTTTGGCACTATATGGTTTGGGTGATTATTTATCTGATGAGCTACTGCTCCTTTGCAGTCTTCTCGTCCTTGTGGTCGCGGAGTGGAGGGGCCGTCAACCCTGCCCAAACGCTTGAGCAGTTTTACTTTTACAGCTTTGCAAAAGCGCTATTGGAGTCGGATTGGCGCCTGCTTTATTGTTTATAGATCTCAGGATGGCGACCGCTGGGTATCGGGATTTGACCTCTTCCGAGGAGTTGTTGGGGCTGCTTTGCACGCCCCTGAATGGCCCTAACTGAAAAAATGTGACTCGTCGGACGTCGCTTTCGCTGGAGATGCAAAATGTGATAAGTGCGTATTTGAAACCGTTTGTTCAAGTAACTGTGATTTTGGAAAGAGAAACTGACTATGTTTCTAGATTTAAACTTACGAAGGGTTTACAAATTCGGTGGTTTTTTAAAATCCTTTGTTATCAAATCCCTAAACTGATCATGTTTCGAAGAATGTGACGCTCCTTTGTTTGACCATACCAATAATTTTGATGTTTGATTATTGTGCAGGACCCGACATGCGACACTTTCTGGGTCCTCCCTGACTGTGGACGAAGCTGCTAATTGGCATAATCTCTCTGTAATCTGTATGAGTGAAAGTGGCCCTGTTCTTCTTTCAGGGATTGGATTCTGCTTCTGTGGTTGAACAGGAGTTCCAGTCCTTAGTTGCCCCTTTAACGTGAGTGTAATGTCTTGTTTTCCGAAAGTCTCGTATAGTATTGTGGAGCAGTGATGCACGCCGCCGCCGGACGCCGCCGCGCCGGCACATTTTCACACGCCGCCACGCCGATACCTCTCAAGTCGGCGTGGCGTGAAAATTTAAAAAAATTTCAAAGCAGCTACTAGTTCTGAATTAGAAAGAGTATGGAGCCAGTCGGGGTTGATTTTGAACTCTAGGAGATCCAAATTGCATGATTGTCCAACGACAATGTTAAGAATTTGATTTTTCTTAAATATAATTGGGACAATGTGAAGTCATCCCTGAATGTAACTGAGTAAATTGAATAATGTTTCTTTTAACAAAAGGATCAAGACTTTTTTCTTGTTTTAGCCGTTTAATATGAACATTCCTATTTATTGAAACATAACAGGAATTAGGAATTAACAGGAATTAACAAAATTAGGTAATATTACAATAACAGTGATTAGGTCACATTACAATAACATTGATTCCAGGTATTGTAACACTTAAAGTCATTATACTCATGAAATTGAAAGTACAAATTAGAGTTTTCTGATGGTAGCATTATGGGGCTACTCGCTGCTATGAGGCCACTTCGTTACAATTTTTGTGGGCCTGGAAATTCAAACCTAAATTTTGACAAAATTATGTTCTACGCCGCCGAACGCCGCCACGCCGGGCCATTTTGGGCACGCCGCCGCCGGTTGGCGAAAAATGAACCGGCGTGCATCACTGCTTTCGCTAAACCTGCAAAATCTTTAATGTGGCTGCGGAACCATGACATGGCTCCTATGAACCTTTGTGCTTTTTTCCTAGTGTTAGGGACTGGCATGGTTTTAATTGCTTTTGTTTTTTTTTCTTCGTCTCCTTTACTATATTAATTCCGATATTCACTAAATTTTTTCGGACGATTATGGCCACTCCGTAAGGTTTACACACAAATTTTGTAGGGAAACGAAGACATGGCATAACAGTGCTATAAGACCAACGGGCTCCAACAATTACAAGATATGTGAATTGTGAAATTGCGTGAGTTTTGCACCTACTTCCGTTTGAGCATCCGCTCAACATCAAACCTGGTACCCGGTTGAAACTCCCGGCCCGTTACTGTAAACAGTAAAAGGCATTAACCATCCTGGTACCGAGCAAATTCTTACTTACTCTAGCAAATAGTGGTTCGCCGATTCGGCTGAGAGTCTCCTGGTGAGATTTTTATCTAATAAGCCTCCAAAACTATGTTTGTGTGTGGTGCGATTCATCGTCTCTGATGATACTGAGTTGGTTTACTGACTTTATTAATGAGGCGTTGATGATTAGATGTTAAAGAATGGTTGTGACTGTTATCTTGCAATAATACGTCTTTGTAACTTTTTGTCCCGCCGATGTGGTTCGGCGACGTTGAAGTGGTAGTAGGGGTGAAGAATTAGATTTAACAATTAACTTGGTACAGGGTTCTCTAATGAAGGTAGACTACCTTGCAGGTTGGCTATACTTTCTTATTTTGCGCAAGTTATTTTTTTGAAACTAATTCCTCCTGAACGAAATTGGAGATTGCCTGTTGGATCAAGTCCTGCCCGATGGTGGTTTGGTTGATGCTTTAACTGGAGAGGTGAATGGAATGAGGATCGGTGGCTTTTCACCAAGCTTTTAAAGTCTGATCTCAAATTTCCTAAATTGCTGACGGAACTCTCATCTGTTCAGCTATACCAGTTGTTTTGATGTTTGATATTTTTGCAGGATTCTGGCCCGGCCCTTAATGGATCAACTCCAGCTGTAGACCCTGCCGCTAGTTGGCCTAACCTCTGTGTAAGTGTCCCTGTTCGATTATATGTTATGACTAGGAGAGCGCACTATTGTAAATACAGAGTTTTGAACTGTCGTCCCTTTAACTATTACCTATTCTTTCAGGCCTTCGAAAAGGCTACGGTAGCCGCACAAGATTTTCAGACTTTAGTCGACCCTCTACTGGCAGTCGACTCTATTCATCCTACCGTTGGTTCCCCTACCCCTGCGTCTGTCTCTGGGACTCTACAGAGAGGGTTGAAGTCCGACCTACCTCAGCGCATTCCCCGGTCGTCCCCTGCTCAACGTCGCTACTGGGCTCGAGTGGACGCGTTGATTCACGTCCGCCTGTTATCAGCCGGGTACTGCGAGCTGACGATCCCGGAGGCTCGTGAGTTGTTAGGATTGTTGGGCCTTTCTTGGACCGGCCCTAATCATCAGAGCATATCTCGCCGTTTTTACTGGCGGTGGAAGAATATCAAACGTAAGTGTAGGAAACTGTCCGCTTACTTTGGATTCGTCCTCTCTTACTTACTACCACACATTGAAGCCCATGTTAAACCCAGGAGTTTAACTCCTGTGATTTTGCACTTTTTGACTCTTAATGTACGAACTATCTACTGAGCTATTAGTATTGAAGAGGCCTATATTGTGCTGAAATGATTCATTGTAGGACGCGGTTTTGGACCATCCCGCTGACGGCCACACCCCTGAGAAGTGAGCTGCTGTACTATTTTATGGTGAGTACTTTGAAGACTTACCTTACCCTACTAAAATATTGAGCATGCTCGCAACTATCTTGACTTGGACCCCTAAATCCTTTTGTGAAAGTCCTAACGTTTTATTTCCTTACAGGACAAGAGTGAGATTGGGAGAAAAGTACCGAGACCAACCCAGGCTGTAGCTGAGCGAAATAAGGATGACTTTAACTGTGGAAATTGTCGAATTTTGTTATAGAATGTAGAAACTGTGAAATGATGATAACTACGTAAATACTTTAGTGTTATGATTTTCGTTCGATTAAAACAGCTGTTTAATAAAAGTGTAAAACTTATATAACAACACAGTTAACATTTCCCAGTACGTATTAGTCCCGACCCTGGTCGTGAAATTCTACAGGTTTTCTCATTGGGGTACACACAATTTCAAAT